CACAAAATTCACATGTACTGTAACATACCAGTACCAGTGGTTCTGGGATAGGGTATCTGTAACATTCCAGTGTAATGTGGTATTATTTTGCTAACTTTTATTATCTAGCTACAAGATGTGAATTCGTGAGTAACTCTGAAGGAGAAAAAATCATGATGTATTACATACATTAGAGCAAGCTCTACCTCTAGGACAAGGATCTTAGTTTGAATTCATATCTGTTTGAGGTTTCTCATGTTTCCAATATATTAATTTTCCTACTCGTGTGCTTTCAAACCGGGAACCGTGCCACAACTGTATCAAAGCTGTGCCAATGTGTCAAAGACATTTTTCAGAGATGAGTGAAAATGGAAATGAAGTCCTTGGGGTTACATCAGCAGTGAATTTATCTCAGGGCACCATTAGGGGAGTGCTTCCAGAAGTGGAACCTTTTCTGCAATAATCTTGCTCCTGTTAAATCTACCAGAAGAATAGTTAGCTCTACTGATTTGCTGTGGAAACAAAATTTTTCTTAGGACAGCTCTCAGTTTGACCCTATGAAAAGCAGAAAATTTCCCAAATTAAGGAATAGAAACATGTACAAAGGCGCTAATGAGACCTTATCATGCAAAGGAAAGATATTAGATTTGTATTGCTGATGCATTTAGAAAGCAAACATTATCATCTTATATCTCTGTGCATGCAGCTAGAGGAATCCTGCTATCCATATAGAACAGTGATGGAAGTTTTATCTTAGGAAAAGAACTTAGAAGTTTGTAGGGTCAAATAAATACTGTTCCAAACACAAATAAGACAATTTCTTTCCTGTGCCAGTGTCCCTAAATTATGAATATTTAACATCTTCCTTCCTTTACAAGTCAAATTGAACAAGTACGTGGTGTTTTTTTCCCCCTTCTCAAGCTGGTGGTTTAATGATATTATGTAAATCCTTTTCAACAGTATCAAATCAGTTTTGAGTCTTATGATATGTAATGTTGGTCAAATAAAAAATCAATCCACTTGTAGATCAAAGCAGTTCTAGATGAACTCTGACAAAAACTAACTGTGTCATTTATTTTTACTACCGTTCTTACACACATCCTCCTCTCTTCCCAGGGCCCTCACGAGTTCTCAGCTCAGGGAGGCCTCTTGAGCTACAAGTTGAAAATCGCAGCCCTCCTACTGGTAGAGCTATACAGAACTTGGCTGACATTACAAGGCTACTGTCCATTACACATTTAAGTCAGGTTTCAGAAGACATTCTTAGTGTCAAAAGATGAATTCTGAATCCAAATAGCCTGGATATGTAACACGCAGTAATGCGAAACTCAAGGCTTTTGGTTGTTGTTTTCAGTTGTGTTTGGCTGATAGAGCTGTAACTTTGCTTTTGTTGGCTGTGCTCAAGCTCCGCTCTAAGCTAGCACAGGGTTTTTTGTATAGGTAATGCCAGAAGTCATGACTCTTTTCTGCCACAAGGCCTCTCGTGAAGCAGCAGAAACACAAATGAAATAAGAGAAGGTAAATGATAACTAAAAAGTTGTGGATGTGGTACAGAAATTACTAACTAACTAGATCTGTAGTTTTAGAAAGCACGTTGGCAACGCGACAATTTGCTGTGCATTGTTTTCTACAATATATAGTAAAGACCTTAACTTTTATCTTGTGTAGGGACTTAACCATTTGGACTAGATATTAGGAAGAAATTTCTTTACTGTGAGAGTGGTGAGACAATGAAACAGGTTGCCCAAGTGAGGTTGTGGATGCCCCCTTCCTGGATGCGCTCAAGGCCAGGCTGGATGGGGCTTTGAGCAACCTGATCTAGAGGGGGTGTCTCTGTCTATAGCAGGGGGTTGGATCTAGATGATCTTAAAGGTAGGTCCCTTCCAACCCAAACCATTCTATGATGCAACTTTGAGTTAAAGTAATGTTGGTGCTTTTTCAATCTAGGTTCACATGTTTTGAATTAAATTAATTACACTTTTTTATCACTAAGGCATTCTTTTTCATCACACACATTTTCAAAGAAATAACAAAGTGTTCAAAATACTAAAATCACACAAAATATGTTAACAGTTACACTTCTCAATAGATTTTAATATTATGTAAACAGTATCTTAGATCTACCTAACAGCCAGCCACCTCCCTCATCTTGTAGCTCTTTGGTTCCCACTTTTTGGTGATTGTATGGAACAACATTTTGAGCAGGGATTCGTGCTTATGCAGCAGGCCGCTTTACCTGGACATGTGAGCAGCTCTGTTGGAGGTGAAAACACTCCAGCTACCAAGAATAAGGGATGTGGTACTGTCCCACAGTTACGCATCAGAGAGAGAAAGGCTGGTCTGCTGTTGTGAAGTACCTAATATTGATTTGATCTTCTCAGGCCAAGTTTCATGTGCGCATGGCAGAAATATTAGAGCTGTTCTCCTTGGGGCAGCCATCCAGATTTTCTTATACCTCATGCTAAAGGATATAACCACTGGCTGCTAATGGAAGCATTGTGCTGTTCTGACAGAGGACTGAGACTGTGCACTTTACATAAGGGGGATACTATAGAAGAAAGAAGGATTGATCTGTTCTGTATGTGTGTGCAGAGCAAAGCAGAGTCTCCCTGATGCTACTGATCTACTTGTGCTTACCCCTGGTGGATACTGCGTTCAGCAGAGTAACAACTACAAAGAAATGTGTTTTGGGTTTGTTTAGATAGTTTGGAGGTGGGACTTTTTTTAATACACCAACTAGATTTGGTATGTGCTGCAGAATGATGTAATCACTGAAAGTGATAAGTAACTATTAATGTGTTCATGCTACATACAACAAACAGGTGCAGATGAAAATAGTATTTCTGTTTATTCTTGTGCAGTGTTTCATATGTTCATAGGGCAAAAAAAAAAAAGTAATGGAGTTTGGGTGAACCATTGTTGAAAGAGAAAGTGGTTTTAACGCTTGTACTACATCTGATGTTAACATGGTATTTCTGAGAAGCTAATAATGCAAATGACTGATTAAATACTAAGTGCAAAGAAATAGAAATGTTTGAAGATAGGATTTGTGCCTGAATGGCACATCGGTAAGACTCAAATCCTACTGTACACATTGTGTTGGTAACATTACGGTTTTATAATCAGTAATACTTTTGCGTGATATAAATTGAGTAGTTTCTAAGATTTCACCACAGAATCAACTCGATAGCTTCTAAGTTTAACATTACAGTGCAAAGCTTGCATCTCTGCTGTAAGCATTCTGTTCCAAATGACTGTCAGTATTTCTACCACAGCAGGCAAAATTGTGAAAAATGATAATAACGTAGCATTTAATGGTAAATGATATGATTTTCCTCTTACCTTTGCTTTCAAATATGGACATACACAATGAAACTTACAACTTCAGAATTAAGATCTTTACAAAGTACTCATACACTAATTTATCAGAACTTTTTAGGATTCTCCAAAAAAACTGATTAAATTATCATATTATATACAATAATCATACCTGATTATTTCGTTCATAAAACATGATGTAGATTCAATTACTAATTAAATTTTTTTTCCTACTTTTCCTGTCCTTTTCATTCTGAATGATGTGCTCTCATGATGATTGCTGTATGCAAATTCCTAGCGCAGCTGCACTGAAGATGACTCGGAGTTGTTTCACTGACCTCAGCTACCACCTCATCAGGCCTTCATCCTCACTGTTCTTGTCTTCCAACACAATGAAATCTGCCGTTTTCCCTTGTCAGTAACACTGTAGAACTGCATGCAGCACCTCACATATCTCTGCTGGAAGGTTCTATGGCCAGTGCCAACCTTGCCCCATAGTCATACTATGGCATATAATATATAGAAATTCTCCAAACCTGCTCATGTGTCATTTTCACTAACACTATATGACTTTCAGGAGTGATTTTGAAAAAACAATATTTGTTTGTGTAGACATGAAAAACGTTACAGTAATCAGCAATATTTCTTTTTTATGTCTTCAGTTAAACATGACATGACATGGCAATTGTAAAAATCAAAGAATTGCCTGGGTTGAAAAGGACCACAATGATCATCAAGTTTCAACCCCCCTGCTATATGTAGGGTTGCCAACCAGCAGACCAGGTTGCCCAGAGCCACATCCAGCCTGGCTTTGAATGCCTCCAGGGATGAGGCATCCACAGCCTCCTTGGGCAGTCTGTTCCAATGTGTCACCACCCTCTGTGTGAAAAACTTTCTCCTAATATCTAACCTAAACACTCCCTGTCTCAGTTTAAAACCATTCCACCTTGTCCTATTACTATCCATTCACGTTATACGTTGCTCCTTTCTTTTTATATTTTAAGTTCCGGAAGTTAGGGCTATATGAAACAGTTCCTTACAGAATGTCAGGAATATATGTCAGAAAGGCTTCCTTTCTTGTCAGTACCATGCATACAACTAAGGATGTGTGGAAAACTGCAGTGTCATCTCTGCACTGTGGTCATGCAGTGTACTACTGAATAATTAGTAAAGTCACAGGAACACCAGTAAACAAAATGAAGTTGCTGCACATTGTATAGAATTAACCTTATGCAGTAAAACTGTTCCTTCAGAGAAGGCTTCTTCTAAAAAACAGCAGTTTCCTTGGCTTTTCATTTAACATAGTGATTTTTACAACCGATGCACATTTTATTTATAATTTCTTAAGTTATGAGTTGTGCAGTGGGAGATGAGCTCTTAAGTGATGATATTCATATTGTCTTTATACATATAGTGAGCTTTTATTATCATTGTTTCATTCTCATAAGGACATGATGTAGCCCATATCTGAAGTCTCCAACTCATGTAATATGGAAATATTAACAGAGGCCTTATGTGTGAAATGCTTGACCATGCAATTGTATAAATGTGGCTTGCTCCAAAATAGTATCAGTAACCAATGAGATTACATGCAATGATGAAAATGGTGCTAATACAGTCTTGCATGTTTTCCCTGTACTTCTTCTCCGTCACCCTTTTTGACTGTATCTTCTGAATTCTCCCTTCGTTTTCTTCCAACAAAGGCAAATATGCCATGAGGGATCTGGTCCACCGACTGCCAGGCGCTAACAACAGCAACAGCTCAGCAAGCAAGGCCATGTCTGATGACACCGTTACTGCCATTTGCTGCACGCTGCATGAAGTCATCACTAAAAACATGGAGAATGCCAAGGCCTTACGAGACGCAGGCGGCATTGAGAAACTGGTTGGCATATCTAAGAGTAAAGGAGACAAGTATGTTTTGCAAATCCTCTTGCACCCTTTTTAACATCTCCAGTAGTTCTAACTAGTTCTTAATGTGTTTGCCTCCTCTCTGCAATCGTGAGTTGAATACTTTGGTTTCATCACAAATCATGTGCCCAGTGTGAAAGGTAACAAGAAACAATGGCAATAGCAGAAGCTTCTGTTGTAGCCTCTTTTTGAGGTACCATAGGTAGGCACGTGCACTGTAAGAAAGAGTAATTATCTCCAGTAACTGCTACCTCAAAGCACTTCCAGAAGATCCTGGTAAACATTAGGGACCAGAGTTGTTGGACTGCACTGTACAGGAATCCCATGAAAGGAAGGGATGTTGCTGTAGTTCTCTTACTGCTCCTCCTGCTCTGGTTGTGTAGTCACTGTCCCTCTTCACCACACCCACGCTTTTTCCAGCCACCATCTTGCTGGTAAGGTGGACTGTCGAAGAAAAATGGATCTGTGGATATTGTCAACACCTTGCTTCCAAGAGAGCATTAGGATATTTGCAGGCTACTTGGTGAGGCTCTAAAACCAAAAAATCCTGCACGCAACTGTGACATTTTCAGAGCAGCCATGGTTTCATCTTGTCCATTTTCCGATGTGTGTGCTTTTCAGGAAGAGTTCGCTCTTCACCCTTCTTTTGCCTAACTCAGCCTGATTCTTGTATTTGTCAGCCTGCAGAAGTATAATGCAATGGGATTGTGGCAGTTTGAAAACAAAAAGCCTTCAATATAGTGTAGAAAACTTCCATCAATGCACCTGTTGGAAGCTGTCATCACGCAGCCTATTGCAGCATCAGAGCTCTAATAGAGCCCCCATAAAACCAGGCCACAACGTGAAGGAAGGATTCATGCACTCTACATTTGGTTTGAGAACACCTATGATCAGAGCATTACCAATATAATTTAATCATATTTCTTTTTCTCTGTTGTCAGTCTTTCATTTCATACCAAATTCATTACTGAAACATTCTCACACGCTGACTGTAGAAGGCAAAAAGTAGTAGCATAACAAATGTGGGAGCTCCCATGCTCTGCTAATTCATTTACATTTGCACTATTTATTATTATTATTAAATCTATTTGGTTTTTTAATGCATTTTTGCTAGACCAAGTGTGCAGGTTGCAAACAGGTTCACATCCATCTCTCATAAGCTGTGTCTCTCCTCAAAATAAAGCATTTGTCTACTTATTCATTATCTGGCAGAGACCATTAATACTTGTTGAGTCTGGAATTTTCAGAGTATCACAGACAGTCTTAGGAGAATCTAAGAGTGTAGTTCCCTAAGTATTTAGCCCAGGTACTGTTGAATAATTATAAAATGCCTTCCAAAATAGTGATATTTGTCCTTATCCAAAGTACTTTGATCTGCAGTCAGATGTTCTTATTGTTACAGGAAACAAAACTATAGAACAAGAAAACCTGTCAACTCACCGTGATACTAATGCTCATTTTAAGTAAAAGTTTTATTTTTCAACTTTAAGAAATGTTAGTATTGTTTACCATTGCTTTGGTTTGCTTTCTTGCAGATAACTCACTGCTTAAAAATCAGAATTGTTAGTTGTTGGACTGATAAGTAGTTCTTGCATTCTCACACAGTAAAAAACTACAGTATGAATTTGTCTCTTCTGGGATGAAGCATCTGTTCCTGCAAGTGCAGGATCCTGGCCTGGCAATGCATCTTGGTGCAAGTGTAGAACACAAAGGTGTCGGTGCCCCAGACTGGCCTCACTAGCCTTTGGAACAAGCCCACAGTTGTTACACATTCCCAAAATGAGACAGCTAGAGAGGACTGGCATTTACAAGGTCATATTGGCCACACCCAGGTCTTTAGCTAGCTCCCATTTCTCCTCAGTATTCACATTATGGTTGATGCATTTATGGTTACTCCGTGGTTATTCCAAGCTACCAATGCCTCACTAGCCAGTATGGCTGGGAGTATAATAAAAGCAACAATTCTCGATATTGTTTATCAAATTCCTATTTATTCATCAGTTACCCACTTATTACTGTATTCTTGACGAGAAATGGGGGGAAAAAAAAAGAAAAAAAAACACCAGATAAATCACTAGGAAAATACTGCATAAGATAATAGACTCAGTTATGCCATGAACATCATTATACCAGCTTTACTCAGCGTCCCAGTGGCTGTTGTCAGAATTCACAGCACACCACAGAACAGCTAAGAAGACTTGCTGCCCAAACCAGTAACGTATGCTGCTGGTTTTCTGGTTTTCTTTTTGGTTTTGCAGTCCTCTGCCTTTTCTGAGTAAAACATTAATCTCCTCAGTGGCTGGCCCAAACCTGATCATTCCTCACTTCAGACTTTGGCCTTTGCAAGGTTTTCTAGTACTTTGCTGCTTTATACAAAGTACTGGTGCAGTATAGGAGCTTAAGTATATAATGTATGCTCTCTTAATGGCCTGGGTTTTCTTCCCAATCCCTTTCTTTTCAACTGTATTTCATTGAGCTAAATGCTCTTAGGGTTCTTCTGTTGTTTTAGGAGGAGGTTTTTTTTGTTTGTTTAGATTTTAAACTTTACATTTCCAAGAGTATATACGAATAAATGAAACAATAGTTTAGAGCCTCTTTCAAAACCTGCTTGAAGAGAAAGTTCATGTGAAGTTATGTGCGATTTTTAGCATAACATTAATAGCAGCCATCATTAATAGTATGTTGTGTGTAAGATGCAAATCCTAGTTGGGATTCCTGATGAAATTCACCGTGACCTTTTATAATTAGTTGTATTTCTGCATCTGGACTATCCTGCAGATTGAAGCACAGTGCTCACCAGTCATCCAGAGTGTTTCTTCTGGCTGCTGCCCAGGGGTGTATAATGCCATCTGTCATGACTTGAAGTATGGTCATTTATAGAGAAAGAAATTCTGGCTCTAAATTGTCCTGGATGCCAAAAGTTTTAGCCAAGACATTCTCTTAGATGTACTTAATGCCAGCCAGTTCCTCAACAATGTTCCCGTTGCTGCATCTCCCATTTCTTTTGCCGTGCTCTCAATATGAATCCTCATTCTCACTATGATAAGAAATACACATTTTGCTCCTCACTGAATAGTTGGTACTCAGTGCTTGCTTGTAAGAACATTGCTTTCTGAGATGCCAACAAAAGATCTTAATGTACACTGATAACACAAATTCAGTTGTGGGTTTAAGAGCATAGTAATGCACTTGAAAATTAGGATGAATGGAGTCTGGAATCTAGCACTCTCTTTCTCACTTTTTTTTTCTCTCTCTCTCTTTCTTTTTAATATATGTGTGTAACAGGCATTCGCCAAAAGTGGTGAAAGCAGCATCTCAGGTCCTCAATAGTATGTGGCAGTACAGAGACCTGAGAAGTCTCTACAAGAAGGTAAGGCTTGAGTTTTTTTCCAGATTTATCATCTTTCACGTGGTTACCAGAACTTGGGTGCTGAGAGACTTCATAGGCCAAAACTTTCATAAGAACTGAAAATTCACCTGGAGTTTAAAATTTCTCAGACTTGGAGCTGTAGATTTTTTCTTTTCCCATTTCTACTTTTAATATAGGAATACTTCTTTGAAAAAAAAAAAAAAAAAAGAAAGAAAAAAGAAAAAAGAAAGAAGAAGCATTGTGATGAAAATGGGTTATGAATTTGATTTTCTAAAGAATTCATTCAGAGAGTGCTCGCTCTGACAGTCCTGGAGAGTGAAGTCTTCTGTACACAGAACAAACCTATGCAAGCTCTCCTACAGTTTCTTTCTTTTTTACGCCTCCTCATACTGTCCAGAGGAGGTTATCAGATTTTCAGCCCTTCAGCTCCCAAATTTCCTCATGAGATTGCCAACAAGAGTATCTGAAGATGTGGCCCTTAGGGACCAGTTACTTGTGAAGCTGAGCTGAAACTTGATAGCTTTGCTTCCAGTTAGCTGGCAGACAGTAGCATCAAATACTTGGTTTTTAGACAGTCTGTAGAGGGTACCAGATTCCCACAGGCCTGCTAACCTCTTAAAAAGGAATTGCAATGCTGGTAATGTGATCCTGAGAAAGAAATTTCCTATAGTTTTTAAAAATAAGTGTCTAGTTAGTAAATGACAATGTATCCAAGTATTTATTGTGGAATATTTCCAAACTGAATTACACCATGGTTATACACTGTAACTACACTGCTTGTGTAATTATTATTCTGCAGGCTTAGTTCTCAAGCGTCTGCTTGCTATGCGGAATTTCACAGTTGATATAGTTGCTATTTGTGGTCTCAACAAAGAGGGCTAAGAACTTCATCAGGCAGAAAAATTCAGGTCCTGGTTAAGACTGGGATGTAAGAGAGGGAAAGTTCACAGTGGTGTAGTCCATGCTGAGTGTATTTTCCACAAGGAGTGAACTTAGGTATGTGGAATTTATGCACTAAATCTCATACTCTCTGAAGCTGATCTTCTGCTTGAAATGCTGTTCTTCTGCATGCCTCAGCTCTGCTTTGCGTCTCTCTGAAGAGCAAGGAAGACAATTACTGAATTTCTCCCACTGTTCACTTCCATTAGTTTCAATCACCCTTTGGAATCATAGGGGTACAGTATGTATTCTGAGTAATGTCTGATACTCAGTTGTCCATTATGAAGTGGAAGCAAACAGGAGCTAAAGTAGACTTTTCTTGAGGCAAGGTAGGAGCAAGCTTGAGGTCAGCATAGCCTGACTTTCAAGCATGTGGGCAGCTGCACTGTAGAGGCTAAACTTTATTACACCATAGTCTGTTCGAGTTTCATACCATGACTAGCTCATTTTCAGCCTTCTAGCTTTATATGTATGCTGTAATGGATAAGTGGTTCCTGAGCATTGCTCCATACACAAGGTAATCTATATGCTGTGTGGCTTTTAAAGATATTGCTGCCTAAAGGACATTCTGTTGGCTGCCAATGTGAGTGTGCCCAGTAATGTACTTAAATACTAGGCATGCTTGGATACTAAGCACCTTGCATGCTTAGGAGAACATTTTCTGAGGCCACAAATGCATGCTTGTGGTATGGAAAATAAGGCAAGCTATATTTTGAGGTAGCTTCCGGGATATTCTTAGAGAGTCTGATTGTCTACATTCTCAGGAAGAGGTTTAAAAATCACAGTATTGGCTAATTCCTGCAGACTTCACTAAATCTTGAAGTTCATTCTCTGCTACAAGGGCTGCTCTGAAAGTAATGCCTCCTATTTAAGAATGCTGGCCCTTAATGCCAGAGGTGGATGTTGGTGGTATGGCAACAGGTGGTATGGTAGAGGATGAACCTTCCCACCAATATTCCATTCCATTTTGTTGCCGTGTGACAGATGGCAGCAGAGGGGCAATCTGACAAGATGGCATCTAACATGGAAGTGCATATGAAGCAAAGGTGTGTCATTGAATTCCTCCATGCGGAAAAAATTGTACCCACTGACATTCATCAATGCTCGCTGAATGTTAATGGAGCCCAAGCAGTGCATGTAAGCACAGTGAGGGGTGGGTGGTTCGTTTCAGCAGCAGTGATAGCAATGTGAAAGACAAACCATGTTCCAGGCAGCCATCCACAGCTGACACGGCACAAAATGAAGAGCATTTTTATCTGCTCATCAGTGCAAATCTGCAGATTGTGACCAGGGAACTCTGTATAGAGATGAATATCAGCTTCAGTGTGTTGGAAATGATTGTGGCATCGTTGGAATATCACAGATTTTGCACCAGGTGGATCCCCAGATTGCTCACAGAAAAAAACACCGTATGCAAGTTTGGCAGAACCTCTTGAACAGGTACAAGGCTGAAGGTGACAGTTTCTCAGATCACATCATTTACAGTGATGAGACATGGTGTCACCACTACAGCAGTGCGTGGAGTAACAGCATGTGAATTCCCCATTGAAGAAGTTTGAGACACAGCTCTCAGCAGGTAAAGTGATGTGCATTCTCTTTTGCAGTAGGAAAGGGGTGAATCTTCTGGATTTCCCAGAACCCACACAAAACCATCAACTCTGACTGTTACATCACAATGCTGGCTAAGCTGAAGGCTCCAAATTCCAGAGTCAGACCAGAGAAGACAGCTTTTCTCTTGCAACACAATAACGCCAGACCCCATACCAGTGTGAAAAACGTGGAGCACATTGCCACTCTTGGCTGGACCGTTCTATCACTGTATAGTCCAGATTTGGCACTTTCTGATTTCCATCTGTTTGAGCCAATGAAAGATGGACTGTATTTCCTTAGCAATGACACCGTTATAGCAGCTATGAAACAGTGGGTCACCTCCACTTGCATGGATTTTTACAAGTGTGGCATGCATGCTCTTGTTCATCACTGCTGAAAATGCATAGCTAATGGTATATATGTCAGAAAACAGCACTTTTCAGCAGAGAATTTCCTCTTTCAAATTATTGTGCTCTTTGTATCAGCTGTAGTTTCTATGGAAATAAGTAGGAGGCATTACTTTCAAAGTGACCTATGTCTATACTTATATATTCATACGTCATTATATATGCTGCCAAGCATCATATATCACTGCAGTTTCTTGTACTCCAAATGTTTGGATAGTTGAGTTAAAATTCTCTTTTCTTTAAGAAAAAAGGACATGCCCTAACCTTAACAAAGTCACAATATTTATTAAACTTGCCTGTAACAGGCTGATTGTTGTGCTGGATGCCTGTATTTCAGGACTGTTGGAAAAATAATGTTTTTATAATTGGAAAGATGCAAATGTTTGCATTATTATAATAGTCAGCTAGTTATGCAATAAAGTTGCCCAGTATAATCTTTGTCCAATTAAGATATTTATGCTAGTAAAATTGGGTAATCATACAGCTGACAGTATAATACAATCAGCACTTGACAGTATCTTGCATTTTCACAGCTTTTTTGAAGGGCGGGTAGATCCCATTGCATAATCATTTGCAATTTCTTTCTATGTATTGAAGTATCTGTACAGTTATTTTCAAAGATTTGGTGGTATATAGAGACACAGCTTTATGTTTTACAGGCAAATTACAAGTATCACATCATATTTAGGGAAAATCAACAGCACTTACCTTACTGTTCAAGAAATAGTGTAACCGAACAATTTGAATTATGGTATGTTTTATAGCTGCGTGTTTAAAGTAGATTAAATAAGGAGAAGTAGAAAGAATAGAAGTTTTATCCTTTGTAGTAATGGGGAAAGAACAGTACTTACTTAAGTTTAATACAGTTGTAGTCAGTAGATTTAGCCCAATTATACGATTACATCAATAAAAACATGAAAACGTTATGCACTCTTCTACGTTTGCTCAACATTACAGGAATCACTTCACAGTTGGCAAAACATAATCTGCACTGACTGAAGTTTCATCCAGAGGCAGGGATTGTTGTAGCAAGTCATTTAATGATTTGCCAAACCTGTGAAGAAAGCCAAGAAGTGCATAGGCATCGATTTCGTTCTTGCAGCAATCCCTAATAGATTCCTGTCTGTGAAGTGCAGGGAATTGCAAGAATCAAAATCTTGTTCCCTCACTGCCGCCATGAACAGGATTGCCATAGGTAGGGTAAGCAGTGCAAGCCCCATCCCATCATGGATGAGCATGCCCTTAAGCTTCAACCACGGCAACAGTAATATGCCTGTGTAGTTAAACTTAAATTATGCAGCCTCTAAGGAAGCTTTAAGAACTCCCTGTTGCATACAAAATAGCCAAAATAGACAGATTTCAGGGTGCCAACTTCAGCTATGCTGCTTAAAAGAATAGCCTGATTTCATTGTGCCACTCTGTGTCTGACCAGCGTTGCCCATTTCTCTGGGTCAATGAAAGCCAAATTCTGCTGCCACAACCACAGTGACTCAGATAACTTTATCGACCAAATCAAACAGTATGCCTTGTCTCAGTGTGTTTGTGTGTTTGGCTGAGAGTGCACAGAGTATTCTGCTTCAATAAAAATTAAAGGTCCTATCTGATTTTTTTATCCTGAAAAATGCAAAAAAAAAAAAAAGCCCACAAATGGGTGAAATAGAGAAGGCATGGGATATCAAATCTGGTAAACCAACTTAAGTTAGGGATATAAATGTTTCTTGGAAAAGAGTTTTACGCTATGCTGTGTTTAATCAGAACGGCAGTACAAGTAAGACTTACGTTTGCATAAAAGGTCACTTATTTTATCTGCTTCTGTCCTCAGGAGTCCCTTCCTTAACACCCAAAATCTGATTTTCGGAAGTTGTTAATGGTTACGTAGTCCATAGGCAGAGGGCGTACCAGTGACTCAGCACTTACGTAAAAGGAGTAGGGGAGCTGCCTAGCTTGTCCTTGTGCTTGGGAGTTGTGGACCACCCTCTTCTTGAGCAATTTGGGCAACCTGTACTATCAGTGAGAGGACTAGGTGCAATTTACAGTCTTCAGAGAGAGATCCTGTCCTATTTA